GGGGGGGGGGGGGGGCACGTTCGAGACAGATACCAACCAGGATGCCAACCAACATCGATACCATGCTAACACGGGTGCCGTGCCCATGGCGGGGAGATGTCCTTCAGCACTCCCCAGCACCGGCATCGAATTAAAAGCACAGTAAATTGGGCTTCAGTAAATCGGTCGAGAAAAAAGCTAAGGAATTCGAAGATGCGGTGCTGCAGACACTCTCTCGACACGTCCTTCGGCTTACGTACGATAGTGTTGGGAGTGAGGCCCAGCCCCGGTTTTCCAGAAAATGCGTCGCCACCGAAGAGAGCGAGGGTTTCAACCTGGTCGCCACAAGATCGCGATCCAAGGCCGTTGAGCCACTTGGGTCCCGGTGATAATTTCTTAGACGACCTCCTCGGGTTTTTCGAGGACAGTGCGGGCGACAGTCCGCTGGGATGGACGAATAAGGCTGCCGTGGGCAGCATGGCCGTGACAAATACTTACGGCTACGGGGACCAACCACTGCTGGGTACTTTCCTCGGAACTGAACCTAACCCGGGAGAAGGTAGCCAAGTCGTGTTCCTGGACCGGTCGCTCGAGGGCACCTCCTTTGGGACTGATCCTGACGAGGAGACCGGTGACCAGGACACCGATGTTCATTCGGTAGATGATAGCCAGATCGTGCTCGTGGACCAAGCGCTGGAGAGTACTTCCTTTGGGACTGGTCCTGACGAGGAGACTGGTGACCAGGACACTGATGTTCGTTCGGTAGAAGATGATAGACAGATCGTGTTCGTGGACCGGTCGCTGGAGGGTGGTTCCTTTGCGCTTCCTTCGAATATTCTCCCGGTTGGGGACAGCGTTCGTCCGATTGTGGCGCATGTTCGTTCGTTTGAAATCGCGACGGTCTCGGAGAAGAGGTTAGCGTTGAAGCCACTGTACTTGACATGGGCGCACTCCATCCTGAGCAGGGGCTGGGGTCACCTGGCGCCATTTGAGGTGGAAGGTTTGTCTGTGTTTGGTCTAGCCGCTCGTGCGGAAGAGTGGGAGCGGGCTGGTCGTGAGAACGTGACATTGAGTGCGTGTCCCTTGACATTGTCGGTACGGGGTAAGTGGACCGAGAAGCGGTTCCGGGCATGGTTGGAGCACGGCCAGCCGACGTCTGACTCGATTCGGAAGCGCCGGGGCCGATCGGTGTCGATGGACAGGGTGGATGAGGCGGTCAGAGACGTCGTGGAAACTTGGCCGGTTTCTGGCCCCGGTAGCAGGTCCTTCAACGGCCGCATGAGGGCCTGGTGGTGCAATAAGGGCGCCGAGTTTGCTCCCCCACCCGGCGTGCGTGGCGTTAGGAGCATGGAGTTTTACCGACTCGTAATCGAGAAGTTGGGGGGTCTCGGCGTGCCGATTGCACAGGTGCCCAAGGCGATGCGACGAGAATGGAGACGGCACCGCATCCGAGAGGCCGCGGTCCTCCACGGCTTGCCCGTTAGTGACGATCTGCCCCCGCACCTGGTCTGTCGCTCCGGACGAAAGTTCCAAATTGCCACTGCCGCCGAAGCCAACCTTCGCATAGAGTCACCCTACCTGGTTTGGGCCTACGACGTCCTACACCACGGCTGGTGGGGCCTCCTCCCCCCCGCACTCCTCTGTAGCTCGCTCTCTGTCTTTGGCCTAGCCGCTGCTGCCCGCGAATGGGTCAGAACACGAGAAGCACCCAGCACACTTAATGCCGATTGCTACTGCTGCACAGAGACCGGCATCCAACATTCCATCAGCTCTTGCGAACGCTGCGAAGCACCCTGGAGCACAGAGGAGTTCTGGGAGTGGTTGCGCGCTAGACACCCTAGTCGAACCCTCCACCTCAGCCTCGGTCGCAAAACCCCCTCCCCCTCAATAAAGCCTCCTCCGGTCGCAAACGTCTTCGTACTGAACACCAGAAGCGATGTGGAAGAGACCATCAACGCAGTTGGTTTTGACTCTCCGCGGGTGCGCGAAGACGAGAGATCATCTCCATCCGTAACTAACGAATGGGACTTTGGTGACTTCAGATCTTTGCGCTCGGGCTTCCGGAAACGAGTCGGTCGGTGGTGGGCTGGTTTCACTAAACCCGTGAAAGAGGGCCTTGAAAGGTGGGAATTCGAGCGGGTAATGCTCTACCAGTTTGGCCAGAGATTTCGGCAGAGGCCGGCCGCCACGCTGCGAGATGTCTTGCGACGAAGTTAGCGTAAGGGCAGGGGTGAGGATTTTCAACGGCACGAAAAAGTGAGGCGTTAAGTGAGGGGTGTAAGTGAGGGGTGGTGGTGGTCGAGAGGGAGTAGTGAAATTTAAGAATCGCAGGGAAGACCCCCTCCAGAGGTAGCCAAGTTGTGAACAAAAAAGGAGTCATACCGCAAGGTCACGTGCTCAAGAGCAGACCAGACTTCGGCGCCATGGCTGTAAGGGCCGCCGGAGGGCCAGTAGTTTTCTCCGTATGTCTTGGGGAGGGCGGGTGGGCCAATTCGTCGTCGTCGCGAGACCTTGGCGCCCGTCTCCGTTGAAAGTTTCCTTTTCCGGCCTGCCAGGTTCCCTTCTGTGGGAGTGCCGGTGGCCTGTGGAGTGCCCTGACTCTGGTTCGCCATCTGGCTCTGACTCGACGCCAGTTGGCTCGAGGTCAGTTGGCTATCGGGCATATAGTCAACTCCTCCATATACGTTGGAATCGGGCCTGTCTGGCCTGGCCATTATGTCGGCCACATGTTCAGATCCCGTTGGTCGTAACCGTGTTTCAGACACGTCTTGTGCGTGGCCCTGTGTATTGCCTTGTACGCTGCTGAGTGCCTGTACGCTGCTGAGTGCCTGAAGGTCTGGGTGAAGTGCGACTTCGGCAATGGAGGCGGGCACGGCCTCTTTGGTTCGTTTCCAATGGTCAAACTGTGGACGCTGGGGTGGTGTGGCAAACTGGGCAAGGATGGCCTTAGCCTCGAACAGAGCCTCGTCCACCCGGCTACAGGCATGCTCACAAGCGTAGATCCACAAATTATGCACGAACTTCGTATTGCGCCCACATGTGTTCCTCGCCCGATCCGTACTCACCGTCTGTCGCATCACAATAACGTGTGTCACCGCCGCGCTCGCCTGCTCCACCACCTGCGCCCCCATAAACTCTAATCTCCGCTTGTGCTGCGGCCCGTTGTCCAACATCCCAAACTGACTCGCCTGTTCCACCTTGTGATACCCGGTCATTAAAACCACGCAACCCTCCAAAATCCGCGCTCGTCGGGCAGCCAACAACTCAGAAGCTCTACGGAACATTATATATGGCACAAGCCGTACGCCGTGCGTGTCTATCGTGCGTGTCTATCATTAACTACGGGGTGTGGTGTGTCCGAGCACACACAGATGTGTCCGAGCACACACAGATGTGTCCTTACGATCTATTGATTCCTTTGCTTTGGAGGTCGTACCACTCTCTCGCGACGTTACACATAACCTCCTTGAAGAAGAACAGCTGGCGGTCATCGTCCAGGAGTGCTCGAGCGATTGGGTCAGTGTCGTCGAAGTCCGGCCCCTCCAGCGTGACGGGGAAGGGCGAGACAGGTGGCGGGAAGTTAACGCCAGTCACATACGGCTTGAACGGTGCCTTGGGCACGTACCGCTTGCTCAACGTCTCTTTCCGCGACTCGAAATATTCGTAGTAATGACACTGCAATATATTTTTCTCAAACTGTGCATCCCAGACGTCCCGCCGGTCGTCCAGAATCAACAGTTCCCGCAATAACTTCTCCCGATCGCCAGGATACAACCTGTTCATGTCCTTCCTCTCATCTTTACTCGACTCATCAAACCGTGCTGCGATCCTAAAATAAAAGAAACTAAGATAGGAAGGGATAGGAAGGGATAGGAAGGGGATGGAAGGGGACTCATGGACACAAGAATTTCTCTCCAGACATGATAATTCCTATCGGAGATAAGAGCTCCCATCGGCAACAGGTAATGCATGATGCAGGCACATCCGTCACACAGAGACACACACAATACAGAAACATGCATGATGCAGAGACATGCGTGATGCAGAGACATGCGTGATGCAGAGACATGCATGATGCGTTCAAGATGCAAGCAATGTCACGGCCAACATATGTCGCGACTGAGCTGGGCCACGACCCAGTCATGCATGCTGGGTCATGTTGGACGGCGATCTAGCTAGACAGCATCCCATCAACTCATTGACCGCAGGGGGGTCAAGGGGCCAGCACACCAGTGTGCATGGCAGAACTGGAATGCCAACACCCGATAAAGATGTTCAATCGTGCAATAACCACCAACCCATATGATTACCAACCCTTCGATCAGCTGCGTGTGGTACGCCAGCACACACGCGTGTGCGTGGCAGTACCCGCGGGTTGGTTATATCAGTAGAGTATGATCTGAGATTTTATCGGGTTGGATTGCTCGCTCGCTCGCTCGCTCGCTCGCTGAACCCCGCCCCGCTTGGTTAGGCCCACAACCGGTGTATGCCCTGTGTATATACCCTGTGTACACCCCAGTGATGCGCAGAGCAGGCACATTATTTCCCTGCGCCCTTATTTTATCTTCCTGCCTGAGAGAGCCCTCTGTGTGCCCGCCGTCCAAGCAGTGCCCGCCGTCCAAGCAGAGGGCATGCACGCAGAGCAGCCTAGAGCCAAGCGGGGAATTGTTTTACGACAACTTCTCGCGCACCACTGTTCCTTGGCGAGCACCACGGTTTCTTGGCGAGCGCCACGGTTCCTTGGCGAGCACCACGGTTCCTTGGCGAGCGCCTTCTTCTTTTTGCACATCATCAAACACGTTTGTCGGCTCTTCAGCAGCACCGCAAACGTGGACTATCCGCGAGGGTTACACACTGTGCAGCCTTTCGGTGTGCAGCCTTTCGGTGTGCAGCCCTTCAGTCGTGTGCGGTGTTCGATAAGACACCGAGACCATTCGCACACGAGAGCAGAACACGTAGACAGAACCAGGTGACATTCATGGCGGGCAGACACAAAGGGGATCCAGACGGGGGCACAAAGGGGACCCAGACGGGGGCACACAACGACTGAATATACTGGTCGCCATTCGGGTCAAGACGAATGAGACAAACCAGTGATTGTAGCAACATGAATACTAGACGGATGGGGGTGCTGGCTCACAGCCACTGGAGGGTACAATTAGAGGACATTAGCTTACCTGAGGCCGATCACGGTTCTATCTGGGTCTAGAATGGAAAGTACTACGTCAGCGTATTCCTGAGTAGCGTTCGTGTGCACGGCAATATCGTAGAAGGCGCTCAGGTCTCGCAGAAATTGCACGGCGCCTGGCCTGAGTTTGAGGAAGTAGGCTTGGCCCGGTTGCCGGGGTAGCGTGAAGCGGAAAAGCTCGCTGTTTCCGACAGCGTCCCGGAAGTCGTACAGCTCCGGCTCAATGAAGTTGAGCTTGTACTTGCTTTGGGCGTGAACTAGGGTATTATCCAAATCGACTACCAGCTTGAGTCTGGGACGGACCGGGGCCGGAGGCATGACCCTAGGCATCGGTTCTTCAGTCTCCTCTTCGTCACTCAATTCTTCGAGCGCCGGGCGAGCCGGTGCCGGGTGCTGCTGTATTCGCGCGTTCATCGCTGCTTCGCTCATCGCTGGAGCGTAACGGTTTATCAGGAACCCATTCACGTCGTAGTGATAGTGCTGCAACGACTGAATGAACGCCTGCCGAAAAGCTACGGGGTCCAGACGGCCTTCTACATCCACTACTGCCGAGTTATAGAGCGGCATATAATTCTCTGCAAAAAATCCAGCATGCGCTTTTTCCGCGGGGAGCAAACGACTCCCCGGAAAAACATACAACTACGCACAAGACAATCGCTCTTTTCCACCAACAATAAAAAGGCTCAACAAGATGCCGAAATAGTCGCGCAACTAGCCGCCACTTTCGACGACACATACGACCAGCAAACCCCCTCTGCTCAAGACCCCCCAGCAGCTAAGACCGCTGCACGACAAGAGGCACCCCCTGACCAACCCACCAACTTGTGCAGAAAGCCGGAAGTCGGCAAGGTTGCTAAAGACGTCCAGAAGAAACGACCCCAAAGTCAGTACCTGGAGGGCCTCCTCCGCGTTGCGAAGCTCAGACATGCCGAACGAGAAGCTATCAAGGAGGCAATGGTACAGAAGGAAAGAGAGGACGAAGACCCCTCACTCAAAGAGAAACCCGTCTACGTAACCAAAGGCTACATGAGACGTCTGAAAGAGAGGGAAGCAGCTATACACGAGCTCCAAGCTGGCTCGAGTAACACACATAAGTAGCGCCGTGCTACTACTAGCACTAGCACGGAGCGTAACGGGCATGGCGTATATGCAGCGCGCCCAAGAGGGAGGACACGCAACACGTCCTACAAGCAGCACGGAACCTACGTGGCAGTGGTTTTTTGCTGGCTTAATTCTCGTGCTCGCTCTCGTTTCGACACTCTCGTTCGGACGGGGTGTGCGATGGAATGGATGATACAGCGTCTGGGGACGCCGTGTTAGCGTGCAGCTCTGGCTTCGTACGTACCCCACGTCTTTATCGTACCCCACGTCTTTATCGTACCCCACGTCTTTGTTCAGTCTGTTCAGTGTCTCTGATGAGCTTGTCTGGCCAGATTGGTCGGAGAACGACTGTGGTCAGTCCGGTTACAGACTCTCTCTCTTTGAGCTTGTTTCTGGCGGCGGGCGGGACGTTGTTTTACGTTATAAATTTTTCATAGTGGTAATGTGGACCCCGCGGACCAGCCGACACATTGAGAACGCGTGGCCGCTGCTGCGAGACTTTGGCTACGCGAAGGAGGAAATCGCAGCGGTGGTGAAGGAGGCGGACTATGACGAAGAGTTGATTCAAGAGCGCATTTCCTCGATGGCCATTGACGGAGCCGAAGGCCGGGGGTGGCGGAAAGTGGACGTCGTCAAGCCGCGTCCGAAGCGTCAAAATAAACGGCCTGTCCGTAGAGACCAAGACGGAGGTCGTAGAGACCAAGACGGAGGTCGTAGAGACCAAGACGGAGGCCGCAGAGACCAAGACGGGGGCCGTAGAGACCAAGACGGGGGCCGTAGAGACCAGGACGGGGGCCGTAGAGACCAGGACGGGGGCCGTAGAGACCAAGACGCAGGCAACCGAAGGAGGTGGGACGATAATAAACAGACGGATGACCGCCGCAGAATGAACACCGACCGCCGCCAAGACGGCCGCCAGCAAGATAGTCGCCAGCAAGATAGCCGCCAGCAGGACAGTCGTCCGGACTCCAGGCCGGAGACCAGTCGTAATAGGGGAGACGTGGCCCGTCGGCCGCAGAAGGAAGAGACGGACCGGAATGACTCCTCCTCAGGAGCCCCGAGAGATCCCGAGGGACGAACGGTAGACGCGCAGGACCAGACTGTCAACAACACCTCGGAGCCGCAACCACAGGGGGCGTCGGCCCCAGCGGGACAGACCACAGGGGGACAGGCGTCAGGAGGACAGACTTCAGGAGGACAGCCCACCGGCGGACAGCCGCAAGCGACCCTGTCTTCGCGAAAGGTCGGGACGTGGGCTGCTCGGTTGAGGTCTGACACGCAGCAGCAGCAGCAGCAGCAGGATGTGCCCACTCCGGCGTTACCCAGTGCGCCCGCTCAGTCGGCCCCGGCACCGCCTTTGCCGCCGCCTCCTCGGGACAACACTTGGGCTGCGGTGGCTAGAGGCATTAAGCACACGGACGAGAAGAAGGCCGATCCAGCGCAGGAGCCGGAGCAGCCCGATGAGAACGGGGAGGATCTTGGCGGCGAAGAAAAGTCGCCCGAGGAGGAGCAGCCCAGCCAGGGTGGTGTGATTGAAGATCATTCAGACATGCGTCCTGACGCGCGGTCAGACCCTAGGTCAGACCTAAGGTCAGACCCGAGATCAGACCTGAGGTCAGACGACCTGGCACGGTCCTTGCGCCAGGACCAGCCTCAAGACCGCCGTCAAGACCTCCGTCAAGACCTCCGTCAAGACCAGCGTCAAGACCTCCGCCAGGACCTCCGTCAAGACCTCCGCCAGGATCTCCGTCCGGACGACCAGTCTGCGCGGTCGTCATCGAACGCCGTGGGGCCCGGGTCGGGCGAGAGCGAGAACGCGGAGAGCGAAGAGTTGCGTACCGCGGCAGCTCCGCATGTGGTGCCGACTGCTATCCTGAAACCAGGCACGCACCTCTCGGGCTATGCTGGCGGCCACGCACAGTACGCGCCTCCGCGAGGTCGACCTGACCCTGATGCGTACGCGCTGCCGCAACCGCCCGCCCCGCAACCACCGCTAGCACCCCATCAGGTACAACAACCCCACAGTCAACCCCACCCGCAACCCCAGATACATCAGTACGGCCACACGCCAGCTGGACACACACCCGGGCACACACCTGCCGGACACACACCTGCCGGACTCGCCCATCAAGCCGTCGGCCACCAGCCAGCGGGCTTGGGTCAGCCGGCGGGGCTGGGCCAGCCTGCTGGGCTGGGGCTCGGGCAGCCGGGGCTCGGGCAGCCGGGGCTCGGCGTCGGTCGTCAGGTCGGACAGGCCGCGCCGTGGGGCGCAAGCAGCTCGGGCGAGAAGTGGAATCAGTACGAGAAGGCCGGCTACCCCGCGCCGCCGGCTTACGCATACACGCCGTCGTTCCGTGTGCCGTACCCACACGAGTTTGACTACAGCGGACGGCGCGTGCCCAATGGGTTCAGCGGTGATTACTACGCGCCGGCCTTCGCGGCGCAGCGGCTGGGCGAAGAGGCGGGCCGTGCAGGCGCCTACCCTGCGGCGCAGGAACGCACGGGCGCGTTCCCGCCAGACCCGTACTCCTTCTATTACTACGACCAACGCTCCGGTGCCGGGCTGGCGCAGCCGCCTGCCGCGGCTGCCACCGCCGGAGGCGGTTACGACGGGCGCGCTTACGGACGTTACGAACAGCCGGCGGCTGGGGTGCCGAGCAGCGCCCGTGTGGACCCAGAGGATGCGAGTCGACGTGGAGATGGACGTAGCAACTACGCGTTCCGACGTGATGCAGCTTACTATGGAATGCCGTTGTACATGACCGTGCCACCTGACAATCGCCCGAATCCATATGTGGCTTATACGGCGCAGCACTATGGTGCCTACTACAACGCCACACCGCAACAGTACAACACAGCTCCGCCCGCGGCCGCGCCCCCTTCTGGCTTCAGCAACCCGACCTATAACCAAGGCGAATACAACAACCAGGCCGACTTTCGACGCGGCCGCTATTAGCAACCGCTTGAAGGAATGCCCAGCCGCCTTCAAGGACAAACGAGCAGTCGATACGGCAAGCTCGAGGCTGTCGGGCGGGCATGACTGACTGACTGACTAGTCGACAGCGCGACTGACCGGTCGGTCGGGACTGACGACTAATCGGTCAGGACCAACCAGCCGGTCGACAGGTTCGGGCTGGCTGGTCGACAGGTCCGGACAGGTTCGGGTTGGTCGATTAGATCGGGCGGGTCGATAATACGGCCGACAATGCTCGATGGGTCGAGGTGTTGGGGTCGAGGTGTCGGGACTGGTTTTTGCATATATGTTCAACGAGAAAAAGCTTGGGCCAAGTCCTTGAGTGTTCGATCTTTGAGGGCGCATTGAATGGCACAGCCGGCAACGAAGGCCAGGTAGAAACCGCCCAGAAGGAGCCCGACAACGACCAGAACAAGACTGGTCTTGTCATGTGCGAGTGGTAGGTAGGTTGCCGGTGCAGGCGGTAGGTTCTGAACACGGTAGTAGTAGACGCCCACGTACAAGGCCATCACCCACAACCATCGCCTGATCGGGTGGTCCACAATGTCGCGCAGCAATGAGTTCAGGTTCATCACCGACGCGTACGCCAGAATCATTAACGGTGTGCCCGCCATTCCATAGATCGGAAACGAGGCCAAACTGTAACTCAACCAGACAAACATTGAAGCGTGTCCAAGGATCAACGGGATACTACACAACACAATCGGGTCAACCCCGCCCGCCGTACAGTACTGGGGATACAACATGGTGTTTACGACCACGCGGTAGGCACAGTTTACGGGTATATAACGTGGACGATTACGGTACTGGGGGGAGGTACTGGGCGTTGGGTACAACGTGACAGCGAGGCTGGACATGGCGGTTCATGGTGGAGGGGTTGGAGCGTACTAGATATTGAGGGAAAGGGTACGGCAGTTGATGAGATCGACGTCTGGAGAAGTAACAGTACCAAAAACACTGCTCTTGCGCCTTCCGTGTTTGAAGGTGGCATTGACGCGCACTTTCTGTTCTTTGTAGTCTAGAACGCTTACTCGGCGAGTAAGCTTGGGTCTGGAGGCCTTGCGGATTGCAGGCTTATCGAGTAGGCCCTGGAAAGCCACTCCGACGGGGGCGTAGATGTTTGAGTACATGTTCCCACCGGCGCGTCCCCTAGCACTGCCAAGGCCGGGAATCGGAATTCCCGGGTGCCTGACCAAGTCGTCTTGCAACCCGGGTGCAGACAGGCCCGAAGGGACCTTGCCCACGAAAAGCTGGTTCCCAGCACGCGCTCCCTGGCGACCGTCGGTTCCCGTAGAATTTTCATTGATCTGTTGTGCATTTGGGTGCGTGACGGAGTGCGTCTCGGGAGCCGGGTCCCTCATGGCGCATTCTAAAGGGAAGTCGTCGTCGACGTCTTCCGAACAGCAGTACATTGGCGACGTAGACTTGATGTAATCAATGCTACTGGCCGGCAGGTCGACGGTGCTTGCGCCATCGATAGTCGCCGTGTCCCAGTTGTCCTCGCGGCGGTGAGACAGGTCCGTGACACAGTACGTAAACGCCATGGCGAACAGTATCAAGGAAAGAAAGAACAAACGTCCAGCAATAGACCCATAGCGAGAGGGGTCCAAGAGGATCTCAAGCATCCGGTAATGTTCGGTCATCTTGTACCCTAAGCATACTATAGCAGCAGCCTGGATATGAGCGAACGTTATAACAGCAGGCGAGCTCTTTTTCATCCCAATATTTCAGTCGAGCACACGCGTGCGCGCCGCTCAAAAATTTGACCCAACTTCGGTATTTAACTTCAGACGCTGAAACGTCGCCCACACATACATTGATTCGTAGCTTAAGAATAAGCTTGTCCAAGAGACCCTCCAAGTAGCAAGTAGCGACCGCCAGAGACGATCGGGAAAGAGCTAGTAGATAGACGGACGGAGATGGAAGGAGCGCCGCGCCACTGGCTAATCACCAAGTGCTGCTGCACGCAAGCCGACGACGCAGCCAATATGCTAATAGAAGCCCCGGAGCCACCCATTACGTGGCAGGAGAACGTTTCGGGGCTGGGACTTAGTCATATAACAGATAAGAACAGCTTTTACTCAATGGATCACGAACGCGACGAGTCGTATTGGAGCCGGAACAGGTTTCGGCATGCAATACCGAACTCTTCGGAAGTCTTTTTTCCGCGACTCTCGGAATGGGCTAAACACGTTGCGGCCGATAATGGAGAGAAGAGGGAAACAACAGATTCTCGCCCTGGATTCGGAGGGGCAGCCACGATGGGAGGAGCTTTCTCGGACAGCGACAACAGCGAGTACCCCGTCGCCACGGTAGATCGACGCGAGACTTTCCTCGGCTTGCCAGACGTCAGTATCCCTTCTTTCGACCGGGACCAAGGTACCAAAGATGTTATGCAGCAGATTGTGCGCTCTGCAAGCAAGCGGCCGCCAGCCGTCAACGACACTCCGCCATCGGCTATTGCCAGCGCCTTAGTGAAGGATACTACGACCTCTTACCGGATATGCGACAGCGCAAAGTTCTTCGGCCCTTCGGCAAGTGCCTTTGCAATCCCCTGGCCGGGAGCGACTCCTTCACCGGGAGCGACTCCTTCACCGGAAACGGTTCCTTCACCGGAAACGGTTCCTTCACCGGAAATGGCCCCTTTGCCCAAACGCCGAACGGAATCCGTACATGGCAATGACTGCGGGGACGACGAGGTTGGGCTGAATGCTCTCGCGCCCGCTGTTTCACCAATGTTTGGCAGCCCGTACCCGAGAAAGAAGAAGAAGAAAGCGTACTTGCCCCAGAGAGATTCAGCTGTAGACTTTATGAAGACAATCGCTAGCGAGTCCACCTCGAGTGACTTCGTGATCTCGTCTTCTGGGTCCTCGAGCGTACACCTTACGATGACAGCTGCAGACCTTCTTGACACGGCCCACCTAGACGCTACAACCCCTGGTCTGGTTGTAGAACGTTCCGGAGGCTCGTACTCGACAAGCACTCAGTTGAGTGGGATATCTCTAATGAACATCCCCAAGCCATATAGGCCGATCGGAGGTGCAAGAGACGAGTCCGCGCGATTCGGATTGAGTACAGGAAACGGTTTGTCGAGAAGTGACCAGCCGGAGGGGGATAGTGGTTTGCCGGTGACGAAGTCCGTTGCGTCAACAGCGACCAAGTCTTCGGAGAGGAATACAGAAGGTCTCGCCCGGTACTCACTCGTGAGTGATGACGAGGCTTTGAGTTCCCACTCGAGAGCTTCGACCGAGAACGGTATTGACGAGAACGGTATTGACGAGAACGGTATTGACGAGAACGGTATTGACGAGGAGGATCATGTTCCGGATGAGGGTTCCATCACCGGGAAGGTTTCGACCCATAGTCGAGCTTCTGTTGCTGTCGGGGGGTTACAGGCAAATGCTTCTGGAGACGCTGAGGACCAAGAAGAGGACTGGGAAGAGTCTGTCGGTGAGGAGGGTATTGCTCGTAGCTCGGAGGTTGAAATGTTGATAGCCCAAAAACGAAAGTTTCAAGTAGTTAAGGGCTTTACTGTCATGATTAACGGTCACCAATTAGAGCTTGAGCGAAAGGGAGAGAATCGGATTTTTGGTCGGTATGACATATCCTCTCATTTCGCAGGTGAGTACAGTATTACTAAGCACGTCCTAGATCGACCTCCGTTCTCGTCAGCACAGTTTTCGTTGATCCCAGATCTTGTGGAAGTGGAATCCAGGGCGTGCGTTTTGTTTGTCTTCGGTAGACAAGTACCCTACATTATTGCATTTCCCACCAAGCAAGCTTTAATGGATTTCAATCAGCGACTACAACTATTCTTAGGATAGGGTCGCGAAGGTCGTATTCGCGTCAAAACCAGGCCTGTCTGTTTCTCCGGCACTTTCGGAAATTCACGCCCTTTGCATGAATATCACGCCTGAGTCATCTGCACTCCTCTGCTACTTCCCTACTAGCATGCACAGGTCCATATCTTCATCCGTCGAGATGATGGATCGAATGGAGCTTTGGAATATTTTATGTTGTTGTACAAGTTGTTCCAGTGAAGGTGCTTCGAGAAGTTTAATGCTCTTAATTCGGAAGCACTTTCCCTTTATTGCAAGGATCGCATACCGCTCATGGCACGAATCTCCGACCGACACGATGGTTCCGAAAGGGCCCTCGAAGGATGGAGCCGAAACATAGTCTTCTTGGGGCCTCGAGACCGCGTCAGGCTGACCGGATAAATCAGGCTGTCCCGACATGTCAGGCTGTCCAGACATGTCAGGCTGTCCAGACATGTCAGGCTGTCCCGACATGTCAGGCTGTCCGAAAAACCTGCTACGGCGGCTGGGCGAATGTGGCCCTTTGCCCAACAGTCTATTGGACCGAATGTTCGGCGTGATGTTTGACGCGGTGTTTGACGCAATGTTTGGGGATGCGGTCTTGCTCGTGTTCGGCGGCGTCGGCGACGGGTTGCCAAAAGGTTCTTTCCGTCCGGCGCTCGTTTTCGCTGGGGACTGGTCCGGCCGGCTGGCCGTTGGAGTCGGGCTGTTTTGGGCAGAACAGCTGTCCGATTGGAGACAGTCGAGGTTGAAATACAGCTTGGCTTGTTCTTCGAAAGCCTTCTTTTTCCACTGAAACGGACTGGCCTGGTCGGTCCCGAAAAGTGACCTTGCGCTGAGAGACCGGACCTTCTTCAGAGTCGGCACCAATCCAGGGAGGTACTCAGCGCAAGACAACTCCACCCAGCCCTCTTCAGCGTTCGTCACAATGAGCACGTGCCCTAGTTGGGAAGCCAGTTCTAGTGTAGCTCTGAAGCACCACTGTTTACTTCATACATCGCATACTTTACGTGGGTTTCAACAGCCTCCAATCCTTGCCTATCAATCGGCACCCTACTATTCAGCAACCATGTACTGGGCAACAGGGTGTCGTCCCAGTCGAATATGAATAATGGTCGAGGCGGCCCCTTTGACATGTCCCATCGGACAGAAAAACTCACGGCTCCTGTCGTGAGATTGCGATTGTCAGACCAGGTTCGATTTCCGGACATCTGACCGGCCCCTCCTGTTTGCGGCCACGGCGAGACCCATCAAAGACCAAGCATCTAAACTCGGGCCCCATGTTGCGGCAACACGTGCAATCACGCACGCTAATCACCCTCCCCCCTCCCCCGGCCTCGAGTACCTCTTCCCATCCCAGCGTATACTGAACTCACACCCAAGCTTGTAGCGTCAGGGATTTTGAGGTCCGTGCGCGTTGGTTCTTTGGCCCCGGCCTGGACCGTTCCGGCGGTTCCACCTAGCCGGTTGCTAGTGCTCGAGCTGAACTGAGCCGGGCCGGGGTGGCTCTACTTTTTCGTGATTTAATGAAGTCGCAATCCGGCTTCCAAGGACGTGGGGCAATAAGAGGAGGACCGCGCGGTGGGCGGGGCGGTCGAGGTGGCCGAGGTGGTTTCACGGGCCGGAGCGACGAGGGCAAGTCTTCTTTCGGTCGTGGCGGATTTCGTGGGGGCCGAGGCGGCCGTGGCTCGGACCGCGGTGGTCGCGGGGGGCGTGGTGGGTTCGAAGACCGCGGACCGCGCGTGTGTCTCATCTGCCGTAAGAAAGGCCATATGATGAAGGACTGCAAACAGGCCGCAGACATTAAGGACAATGTGTGCTGGCGTTGTGGGTCCAAAGACCACAGCATGAATCAGTGCACGGTCGCCACGGACGCCACAAATCCCACTCCCTTCGCCACCTGCTTCGTCTGCAAAGAAACGGGACACACCTCCAGCAAGTGCCCACAAAATCCTAAGGGAATCTACCCGAATGGTGGCAGCTGCTTCCACTGCCAGTCGGTCCACCACATCGCCAAGAACTGCCCCATGAATGACGACAAGAGAATCCAGAAAAGAGAAAATCGTAAAGCCAAAAGACAACGGACATCCGAAGAACCCGAGACGGAAACTAAGAAAAGGAAACACGCCGCGGATGATGACCAAAAAGATGACACCAATACCGACGCAACCTCCGAGGCCGACACTGTCCCTTCTGACAGTGAGATAGTCTCTGAGCAAGGCTCGGACTCCGAGCAGGTTTCTGGCTCGGAGCAGAGTTCTGGCTCGGAGCAGGGTTCTCGCTCGGAGCAGGGCTCTGGCTCGGAGCAGGGCTCTGGCTCGGAGCAGGGCTCTGGCTCGGAGCAGGGCTCTGGCTCGGAGCGGGGCTCTGGCTCTGAGCAGGGCTCTGACTCTGAGCAGGGTTCCGGTTCTGAGGAAGGCTCTGACTCTGAATCAAATGCGGGGGTAACTCAGATTAGTGCTGAGGAGGGTGCTTCGAGCACCGAATCGGATCGCGAGCCCACGGGAGCCCTGCCCGATTCGGGATCGGACGATGACGACAGTTCTGATGGTGGCTCGAGCTCTGACGGTGATTCAAGCGGCGACTCGGACTCCCAAGAAGAGGGCCTCCAGGTCTCCAGAAAGTCGGAGTCGGAAGAAAACGCGACGGAGACGGATGGCTCAGGTTCTGACACGGATGGCTCGGGTTCGGAGACGGACGGGTCGGAGGCTGATTTAGCGCGCAATTCGGACGGCGAGGGCAAAACAAGCAAAGTAGCGGCCGAGGATTCAGACTCATCTGAGGATGAGCAAATGGAGGCCGTGTCACTGTCGGACTTGGATGCTGAGTCTGACGCCGCGATCATGTCCAGTGGTGAGAGTTCCCAGGAGACTCCTGACATGGAAGTTAGAGCCTCTGAGGGTCATGAATCGGAAGGTGGAGACTCGGAAGGTGGAGACTCGGACAGTCGAGACGGCTGTGAAAGTCAAGACTCCGACAATGAAAGTGGAGACTCTACTCCGGAAGAGGACGCTGGATCGAGTAGGAGTTCTAGCTCGGACTCTGAGTCCAAGTCCACTCTCCACAAGAATTGGATGCAAGCCATCGCGGAGAAGGCGGAGCTGTCGGAGGAGGATATGTCCAGCGATGGCGAACAGCCGGACGTTCGCATGACATCCGACGGTGGGTCTGCCAGCGCCCCTTCGGGCGCGGATAACTCGGACTCGAACTCCGACAACTCGGAGGACGGTGAGTCTCAAGACGGCAGCGACAGCAATGATGATTCTGACAATGATTCTGGTAACGGGAGTGATGCAAAAGTAAGAAGCGGCCCTCGCTCACTCGGTCGTGGCCGTGGTGATGGTCGTGGTCGAGGCGGTCGCGGCCGCGGTGGAGACCGTGGCCGAGGCGGAGACCGTGGCCGAGGCGGAGACCGTGGCCGAGGCGGGGACCGAAGCTTCTTTTCTGGGGACTCCCACAGAGGCTCCAGAGGAGGCCGCGGCGGCGCCAGGGGCCGTGGCGGCTCCAGAGGTCGTGGCGGGGACCGTGGCCGTGGTGGGTCGAGAGGACGCGGCAGCTCCAGAGGATTCCGAGGCGGCAGAGGTCAGAGGTTCGACTAAGAGGTGCTCTGAGACCAAGGGCGGAAGAGGTACTGCAGTTGAGCCTGGCAGGGTAGCCTCCCTATCCGCCAGCCTAGCACTCCCGCCAGCGCAGTGGAAACCCACCCATCTGACTAGGTCCTAGCCGTCGGCATCGGCATCGGCACCGGCACCGGCATAGGTGGATCAGCCGGGCTCAGCTTTCTGGGCGCACAGTCTGCTTGCATAGCGGGCAGGAGTTTTGTCGGAGCAGCCAGAGGTCTGCACATCTGAAAGGAAGCGCGTTAAAGTGAGGGAGCATTCCCAGGAGCCGGATAAACGAACTCCGTATTTTGACGGATTCATGGTTCCGTCTGCATTGGCGGATTATCTGAAGTGCTGAGGACTTACGCTTGATGGAATAGGTGTCGGCACAGTGGTATGAGTCGTATTTTTTCGTTATCTTGGAACTCGTCTAGACAAATGGGACATTCTGAGAGAGGGTTGCGTCTGCCTTCTGCGGCGATTCGCCGTGCGTGTCTGAGTTCGACGACGGGTAGTTTGTTGATCTCGTCGGGGGGCATGCCACAGGGCGTGTTGCCCATGACGCTGTCACCCCATCGGTGCCACATATCACGTGGATCGAGTTGGTCGAGGGTGTAAAGGTAGCTGCGTAGTCTGAGTCGTAGGAGAAGACAGAGAGCCATGTGTGCGATCTCGAAGGCAACGAGGACATAGCACGCGAGCAGCCACAATGCTATGAACCAACCATTCGTACCAGTCGCCAGACTACCATCCCCCAACACCATAAACAAAGGCTCTCTACCTAACGCCACTGCCTCCACGCTTTCCGGATCCAAACAACCTGGAGCCTCCTCGTAAATCTCACGCAACCATGTCGTACCCACGCCAGTCACGTACAGAAAGATCGGAAACGCCACCAGATGCTGTAGCACCCGCCATCGCAATGGCGCATCGTACGACGACAACACTTCAATCACAAACTGCTCCGCACCCTCTTCTCTCTCCGCACCCTCTTCTCTCTCCGCCTCTTCTCTCTCCGCCTCTTCTCTCTCCTCGCCCGCTACCCTGGGACCGTTTGCCACCGGGTCTTCCAGACTTTGGGGAGTCGCTGAATGCACTCGCTCCGAGACGGGATTGGGGAAACCCGCCCGACCGCGGCCATATAAGTCACCAACGCATGCCTCCCCAGAATTCGGGTGCGAGAAACTGCTATACACCGACTCTTCCGAAAGGGGATGATCCAACGGGGGACGATCCGAGGAGTGATGGTCCGAAAGCGGATGATCTGAAAGACTGGCCATACTTTCCAATTCCTGGAGTTCTTCTGAGGGGCCTAGCTGCTCTTCTTCTACCTCCTGCTGGAGCCTTTGTTCCGACAACGAGGGCGTGATAACCTGGTGCCAGTTGTCAAGTGTTAAGCCGATGGTAGAAGCTGGAAAGCCGGGAACGTCATAGGGCTGCTGGTTAATTTGGGCGTTATACCAATTGATCCATAACTCTGGATCGTTCATAATCATTCCATAGCGATGGGTCAACAGTCCATCCGGTCCATAGAGCAGCGGCTCCAGCTCGCCGTGTTCACTCCTTTCCCATTCGGTTGTTGCTGATTCGGTTCTTCCCGATTCAGTTGTTACTGACTCAGTTCTTAGAGAGTCAATTGTTAGAGAGTCAATTGCTCTCACCGACCCCATTGCTCCTGGGCCAGACCATGGCCCTGCCGGTTCATCTCTGGGGAGGAGGAGCCTGCGTAGGTAAGGCCTTTCGATAGGTGGTTGGGTTTCATGCTCCGAATTCGTCCTAACTCGAAGAGCCCTCCCACTGAACATGGAATGAGTACTAGCGCTTCTGACACTAGGAACTTCCACTACCGATCGATGTTGGAATATAGGGTGGTTCACCGGGGGAGTCCCGATCAGCTCTATTTCGATTTCATCAGCCCTATTCGGGCCCTCGGCTCTTCGAAGGTCTGCCGCTTGAGTAAGCAATTGGGTGCTCACATGTGTGCGAGCTGTTTGTTCTGTGAAGCTATCGGCAGATAAGGTCACACTGAGCCCAGATTTCTTCCGGTAGAAGTGCTGAATTAGTCGGAAACTCCAAGTAACAGCGAAGCTTGTCACCATCCAATAATGAATAGGCCGAGGACAGTTGGCATAACTCCTCCATTGCATGAGCAAGTCAAGGCTTCCATAGAAGAATGACATGACCAGAATGACATCACATACCTGGCAACACGTCATCCTGGGTCATAAGCATGTAAGTAAGAAAGGCCCCACAAAACCTTTGGCCAACTTCTGTCCGACCCCCCATACCTAGCGGTTAGCGAGACTAACTACAATCAGCACGGGGATCATTTTGTCATACCCCCGTTGAGCATTGTTCCGATCTGGTCGGCTACGGGAAGCTGTGTCAAATAGACGGGTGGGTTATTGGCATGTAATGACGGGAAAGTAAAATCTAATTCCATACAGTCTACTTTTGTGGGTAAAAAGTTTCTATGGTCCTTCCCCTTCGGTAACCACCCAGTTGCTCAGTTGGTGGGCGCTACCCAGGGAAAGAGTGGGCGTATGTTCCATTGCCTAATGGGTCTGAAGAGTGGGATTTGTGCGCCAGGGATAAACTGGCGCACGTCTTCTTGTTGCCATATGTAGGGGTTCAGAGGTCCCAAGAAGGGGATGTCTGGTAGGACAACTGGGAAGTTGCTTTCCGGGTTAAATTCTGCAAGCCCCTGCACCAAAGGAGATGGGAGCCCGGCCTCTTCAATGCTCACCGTGAACCGCGTCAGCGCGTCGTCGATCGACGAAGTGAGGTCCGAGCGCGCAGTTCGGAGATCCTCAAACAAGTCGCGAGCTGCGGTTTTGGCTGCACTGAATGATTGCCACCAACTCATATTCGAAAAATCGGGAATGTCTTCACGAATAATGTCCATAACCTCTTCCAATGCTGGAGGCAACTCCTGCTGGATCCGCTCCTGTTGCAGGAACATACGAGGCGATGCGTCCTTCATTGCCCGCGCAGTGCCTTCAATTGCACTCGCACTGGCGTCCTTGGCGCTTGCCTCCCGGATTACCTTGGCCGCCTCCCGCAACGATTTGCTCATCGACTCCATCGCGTCTGCAGCACTCTGCTGAGCCAGAGCCGAAGCCGCGCTCCGGCTTGTAGCACTGACCAAAATTTCGACATTTCCCGCAGGGACCTCAGACTCGGCCACACTGTCCGCGCTGGCTTGCAAGTCCTCGTTGGTGTGTACATCCACCTGCGCTATGGCGTGTGAAGGCACCGAAACAATAGCAGCGGACGCCGCGACACAAAGCAGAAATGGCTTCATCTCAAAGTTCCAAAATAAAGCACACACGTGTGTGCTTAGTTCAATAAACCTGCTTTTCGCAACTTTTCCGTCAACTCGCCAGTTTTATACATCGCAGCCTACAATACAATGCCAAGTGATCCACGCAGCCACTCAACCGCGTCAGTCAACCACGTCTGCGGGGGTGGCGACGTCGACTGACTAGTCACTCAGCTCCTAGTGGCGGCCCCAGTCGCCACCCCGGCAGCCATCACCAAGCGCGAGTAAGTAATGTTAGCGCAGCGAAGTGGTGCGTCCCAGTAGTGCGGATAAGTCTTACAATCGTTGAACCGTCGCCAATGAACTCTTTGTTCAAAAACACCTGCGGCACTGTTTTGATGCCGGATAAGGCAGGCAACTGAGCCTGAATCGAGCTGCCTTCCGACATGGTATCCAGCTCGTACACCTTGACGTATTCGTCGGTCACCGCCTTCTGCAAGGCGTCCTTGGCTATCTTGCAGTACGGACAGTAGGTCTTGCTAAAAACTACAACCGGGGCGGATGATAACATTGTCTGAACCATTTTTAAACGACGGTCGAATTTAATGCGGCAAGCCCAAGAAATATTTTCTAACAACCAACCAACAAACGGCCGTATCCACCCCAACATACCTGCTGGCAGCTGATGCGCAGGTTTTCCCTTTCTTGCCGGCAGGCAGGAATTCTTGCCAGAAGGAAGTGACGAGCGCGTGGTTCATCCCCCTACCGGGTCTGCGCCTGCCGACTCCTCCTCCCGAGAGGGACGGCCGGGTTAATTTTGCCTGAGACATCCAGCACTGTCTATCCATCTATCTATCTATCTGGTTGGTGTCATAGACGTGGCGAATGTGGCGCCAATTAAACTGTTGGCGGCATGCCAGCTTTGGGTGTTTGTAATGATGTCCTGTTCTCGTTTGTCAAGTGTGACCGGGCCGTTTTGGGGCTCATGTTGGGCGGCAGCTGAGCAAACGTTTCTGAGGGCCCGAGAGAGCCGCATTGATTGTTTGAGTTGCTGGGGAACTCGATGCCCGTGCAGGCAAGCCTTGGTTGGTAGGCAGAAATGGTAGGGTAAGTTCCTTGGGGGACGGTTTGAGGGTTTGTTCCCATCTGGCTCGAACCCGTCTGGTGAATTCCTGTCAGGTTTGTCCCTGTCAGGTTTGTCCCTGTCAGGCTCGATCCCGAAAGGTAGTTGGTTCCAGGTTGGTAGTTGTGGGCATTTTGGTCGTAGATGTCAGCGGGTGCTAGGCCCAACTGCAGAAGGCGTTCCGGGTTGAGGAGTGTGCCACCGGCTGGGTGGCCGCTAGTGTGCGCGCGATACTCATGTGGTGAGTGGGGCAGGGAAGGAGAATTGAATCCGGATTGACGATAGGATTGGTGTAACAAGCCGTTGGCGTTCGGTAGGCCGTTGGCGGTGGGTAAGGCGCTGCTGGCAGGTTCAGAGTAGCCTCCTCGTTCCATGTAGGCTCCGCGTTCAGAATATCCTCCGCGGTCATTGCATCCCCCGCGGTCAGTGCATCCGCCGCGGTCGCGGACGGCGGCAGTCGCTCGAGCATCTAAATTAGGTTCCACGATTTCGGGTAGACAGAACTTGCTCTGGCACATGATGGCGAGAGATACGAGGAA